AACTATGTTTTGATATATAATAAAGCATTGTTCTTGATATTCTCCACATTTGTCGCTATATGTGTCGTGTGGACATCCTGGGCACACATATAGTTAGCGCTTGGCATTCTTTAGAAAACCGGGTGCGACAACGATGAAGGGACCGAGTGAAGGATTGGCGAGTGCTAACAGGATGGCCTCGACAGTCGCGTTACCAGCTACGTCATCTTTCCCTCCTCTTGTGTACATTTTGTTTCTTTTCTATCTGTCTCAGCCGATCCTTAGACGGATCGCGTCTCCTAGCCGCATGATGGCAAGGGACCCCCCAAAAGGTGCATCGCTGAGGGTTCTAAGGATGGCCCACCGGGTTTCCAGGCCACCCGAGGCACCTAAAGGTGCGAGGGATGCTCATGGTCGGGCACTAGAGGCCTTAGCTGGGCGCTTAGAAGCGAAACCAGCCGACCATCGAGCGATGTCCGAGTATCGACCTTGAGCCGCTTGTGGTGACCCATCGAGGGAGGCAACGATCCCCCGAGCACCGAAAACGGGCTCGGTAACTATATGAGTGGCTCGGTCGGGAAGCCGAGGATCTCCCCTCTGGGGGACATGACTAGGGCACGGAACGACCGTAAACCTAGGGTTCTGAAAGACTCACCCGCTAGCAGCACGGGCACGGCAATCTTGGCCACCGAGGCCATTGTCGTAATAGCCCATCCCAACGAGGGATCTAAGTCTCCGAGCATGACTCGAGAGCAATGAGATTATAGATGAAAGTAATTTTATTTCATTAATTAGGAACGACCTGATTACAATATATGGCAGCAAAAACTGCTACAAACACCGCCACCGCGCCAACCAGTGCCGCGATCACTCGGTCGGGACTCCCGACCAAGCTTCCGTGGCACACAGACAGACACAGTGAAGGCTAGACCGGCCTCCCTCTCCACCGGTGCTCGGGAACACACCGAGGTCAGGGGTGCCACCTAACGGCCTTCACCCCAAGCCGGTGGCTCTCGGCCGGGCTCATCGGCGCAAAGACCCGGCGAGTCCCCGGGCCACTGGCTCTTCCACTGATAAAACAAAAGGACCCCAGCGACCCACGTCGCTAGGATCCTTCCATTTCCTAGGGAAGGACAGTGGGATAGGGACTCGGTGGGCCTCGATGCAGGGAAAGCACCAGCGCTGGCAGCGTGCGAGGAGAAGATCACGTCCGCTCGAGCCACCAGCAGTGTTGGAGGCGCCGGTTCCCCGCACAACGCAATAGTTCTGCATCCTTCTTGATGCCATGCCACTGGGTTCCCTCTGCTAGAATCCTTCCACTCTCACGGGAGTGATTGCCCAGCGGAGCGAGGCAAGACTCACTTGGAGGGAGACGTCGCACCCCATCGCCGCCATGGTCACTAGAAGTTGGATCTGAGAGGAAGAAGAGAAGAAGCCAGAGAAGGGATAGAAGGCGTCGTGCCCTCAGGGCTCCCCTTTATAGCCCCAATCGAAGCGCTGTGGGCGGCTCTAGGCCCTCCGATCAGCCATCGACGGCTAAAGGGGCTACGAGGGACCAACCAAGCGCCCTTTCAATCCCCGCAACGTGCCTTGAGCGGTTGCGTGATGGCAACCGCGCAGTAAAGGCAGAGTCAGGAGGGCATTGACAATGAGTCAAGTCCTCGCTCCACTTTCCACCAAGCGCGCTGCCTACTACGCGCATGCCTTCTCATGGGACTTGAGGGGATCCAACTCCCCTTGGGCCCACCGGTCGCCTTCAACGACCTAGATCCACGCACACCAAGTGTCGTGGCCTCTCCTCTGCCAGATCTGCTCCACGTGGCCCGATGTCCCATCTCCTAGACGAGGTGGGACGGTGTGGGAGTGCACGCCATAACTCCACCAGCAGGCGCGGTGGCCCAGGCGCCATCAACGGTCTGTGCAAGACGGGGCATGCTCAGAAGCCGCCTCACCCGTTGACAAGGTGGCCCCGCAATAGCCTTGGGGGCTATGCCAACTCCCCAGATGGAGAGCCTAGCCCCTCGATCGACGGGCGCCCGGACGGCACGCTCCCAAAACAAACCAACTCTTCGAAGTTGGGTCGGGAGCCACTGAGTGGTGGACCCAACGAGGGCTCCCAACAAGCTTGATGCGCCCCCCGCACCCTGGCCTATGGCTGCAAGGGTCGGCCCGAGAAGGTCAGGACTAGCTACCGAAGCCCTCAGAAGGGCGTGGCGCGCCGGGTGATCAGGCGGCCCTGAGCCAGAGCTCAGACGCTCTCGATCACCCGACCCATGGCAGGCCCAGACCAAAAGGAGAGGGTGCCCCCAGGCCCTAGGTCGGCAACTCCTAGACAAGTTCACCAAACCCTCGCTCGGGCCATAGACGCCTGCGACATAGGCCGAAAGAAGGGTTAGCACCATCATCGCTCGGCCCTAATGGCCGAGCACCCGCCGTCATACTAGGAAAGGGCCCCACACAAGGCATTACGATCTAGTCAGAGGAGGACATCCCCTCCATGGCTAAGTTTGGTCACTAGAAGATCGAATTCAACCCTTCGTCGCCATCACGAATCTGATCGAGTGAGGCCACGAAGGGCTCGGGGGCTCCTGACGAGATCCTAACATATGGGTATGTTAAGCCTCGGGATCATGGGTTCCCGACCAAGAGACCCCCCGACCGACCCTTCTAGGATCGCTCGAGGGCTATACCCATCGGGTACGTTCGTGCGCACCCTTAGGTCTGAAGGTCGGGCCGAGCCCAAGTAAGCCTGTTGCCTCTGCTCAACGCTCGGGGGCTTGCCCGAGCCTAGGGCTCTCGATCGACAGTAGCCTAGACCCGATCCTTGGCCAACCTCGGGCCTTGGGCACCGCCCAAGGCCCAGGCACAAGAAGCCAAGAAGCTTGGGGCTCCCGGGCGCTGCCTCGCGAGCGTGGCACTGTCAACCACTCCTCCGACAGGGTAACGCACGAGGCATGACACAAGAACACAAACTCCTCCGCGGCCTCCAGGGGCTCGGGGCCTCCTGGGCCCGCATGTCAGCCCCTCGAGCCGGCCTCCTTCGCCGCTAAGAAGTCTTCAGAAGGCACACCTGGGGGAGCCCGGTCCAAGCCGACACAGCCTGACACTCAGAGTGTCAGGACAGAGCAGTGGACGCCGCCTAGAGCGTCTTCGGCTCCACGACATCGCCACGGTCCACAGAGCGCCGCTGCAAGACCCTCCTGGACTCCGGCGCATGTAGACCATAGGCTCATTCTCCAAACCACTATGTACCCGACCTATCTCGGTATATAAGGGATAGGTTGGATTCTAGAGAGGGGGAGGACGATCCAAAACAGATCAATCCGTTCCTCACCGATCCGCTCCCACTCGGCACCGAGATCAGAGCAACCTAGAGATGGGCACTGAGAGCTCCTCCACCACACCCGTCATATTCCTCCTCTCTGACGAGGGGAAGGCTCCACCGACGGCGAGGCAGACCTCAGGATTAGCACCGAGCTAGCCCCTACCAAATCTCTCTCTTCCTCCTGTACACTCTGTTGTAACCCTCGATTTTGGGTGCTCTTGATTAGAAGATCATCAACTGCTGGACGTAGGGCATCGATTGGCCCGAACAAGGATAAACCATTGTGTCATCTCTGTGATTCTTGTGTTCTTGAGTCCACTCGAGCCACCGGAGACACGTACTCTGACACCACCTCGAACAAAAATGCTTGCCGTGGTTCTGACCCCGTAACACCACCCGAGTGACTAACTAATCGGTGTCTTAAGATACCCGGGGTATCATAACCTCGACACGTTATTTCAGCAACGACTCCTTTGATTGCTGTCTTTAATAAACACTATTAATTGTCCTAAGTGGCAAAACCAGTCAGGCCCGTACATGCCACACCATGGCTCAGCGCAAGCGCTCGTGGCACGCTTTTCACCTCTCTCAACTTTACAACACGTACACACATATATATTAGCCACCTATTATTGAGTCAATCTTTTATCAAAATATTAATACGTGCCTTCAGATTTATTTGATTTTAAATTAAAATTGGCCAAGTTCAATTAATTTCTAACACTTGCAACTTAGCATCAATGTTTCGGTGGACTTGATCGGAATGACACTATAAAAGATGTATTCGATGGACGTTGCTTGCAACATGATGCTAATGTTTGGTAATTTTTTTTTGGCTTCTATGCAGCTACTTGGACTGCCATTAATTTCATGCCTCCATGGAAGACTTGTTTGCCCGAGCTCTAGAGAGATGTCAGTACCTGTTGTCTTAGCCGAGCACATACATCGATCGCTACATGCTGTCTTAACTGCTGCTTTTGTGCTGGGATCCTCCGTATACAGCTGCATGAGGTAACGTCCGTCCGTCCAACGCTAGTGCTCTGGTGAATGTCGAGTGTTGCAATTCTCCATACCAATGGCACGTTCGTTTAGCTGATAAGTTATAATATTATTGGCTGATTTGATGTGAGAAAAAAATACTGTTCATTAGCTGAAAAAATACGACTTATAAGCCAAACGAATAGGATATAAGATTACGGTGAGACTGAGGCGCGGCAAGGACTGGGGCGTGTCGTGGGACGAATGCGTGGCATCGCGCCCCATGCTCCTGTTGCAGGAGGAAGTCACATGGAAGACCCCTCATTGCAAATGGACAGTCCGAAGTAGCGTGGCCGGAGGTTCAGGCGCTAGCTGTGCCGTTCTGGAAAATAAAAAATCAGCTGGAATTAGTTTTAAAAATTCTTTTATAAAACGATTAATAAAAATAAAAATAAAAATAAAAATAAAAATTCCTGTTCTTTGTTTGTGAACGTTAAAAAAAAACCGGAAAGGAGCGGTCGCCCACCGAATTGGATTTGGGACGTGGCGCACCCCAAGCTGCGGCACGTTCTCGCTTCCACGGTTCCACCAGAGGCAGCCCCACCTCAAGAGCCCTCCCCCCTCGCTCCGTGCCCGTGCCTCCCCGCGCGATCCCCACGTTCCTTCGCCGGCTCCGCGCTCTGCTCTTGTTGAGATCGTTAGTACAGGTGCGGTGGCGATGAGGTCGGCCGTGGCCCGCCTGATTGGCTCCTCCTCTGCCTCGCCCTCCCGTCTCAGGTGAGAGCTCCCGCCCACCGCCCCTCGTGTCATGCGCGTCTGCAGTTGTCTCGGCGGACATGTTCCTGGAAGGAAAGGTTAAGTTTCCAGCAAGATTTGACATTGCGATGGGTGGGCTATCGTGGCAATCAGGCGCGAAGGGAATTTATTCTACTTAGAGCAAATCGATTGGAGAACAAACTGCCATTTGATAACAGTTCCGGCTAGGGCCGGTCCTGATATTTGGTAGGCCTGGGGCGAAATAGAAGGATGAGACGCTTAGTCCCTTTTATTACATTTATGTAATTTTTTCTCCTGTTTACATTTTCACATTTATTACAAAAATGTGAAATGTGGACTGTGGTTCCGAAGTACTACTACATATTGATTATTAATTAATTTATTATTCGTGTCAAAATTTGATACAAAATTTGAGTTTGATGTTATGCAACGCTTACTCAAATTTTGAGATGTTTACAGCTGATATATACTATGGATACTAACTATAATTTTCATTTTGATCATCGCTAAAATAAGAATAATAAAACATTTTATATAATAAAAGAATTCAAATGTTTGCTTCCTTGTAGACCTCGCTACATGTCTTATGCTATATTAAGACATTTTTGTACGATATGACTAGTTTATTTTTTCTAAACCAAAGTGGAAATGTAGATTGACGTGCTTGAACCGTGACTAGGGGCTCTTGTTGGGTTTCAACTCTAGCCTACCCTAACTTGCTTGGGACTGAAAGGCTTTTTTTTGTTGTTGTTGTAAAGTGGAAATGTAGATATTGATATGTTCTAGATAGCAGAACCATTGTGTGAAATTTGAGATGGCCCAATGTATTGCCTTTTCAATCTATTATGGCAATAGCTTTACAGCCTGTTCGGTTGGCTGGTTCGTTTCGTTGCTGGTTCGTGAAGAAGTACTGCTGGCTGATTTGTGTGAGAGAAAAATACTGTTCTGGCTGGAAATTTACGATCGTTTACGACAAGCCACAGCCAAACGAACAGGCTGTTAATCGTTGTCATTGCACATAGCACAATAACCGCTTGCCTGCTAACCATAGCAAGAATGACTCACCGGTGTACCTAGTTATCAGTGAACCACCTCAAAATTGAAGAACCACCAAAATGCTTGTTAGTTGTTACAGAGTGAACAAGCAGAAAATGAGAAATTACTGAAACACAAGCGAGAATGCTGGTGCTCAATTAATAGGATGGTCGCACATCACTACCTAGGCAAGGAGCAGATATCCAGGAGCTAGCTATGAGTACTTCAAGTTATACTTGACTGTGAGTAACAAGGGTGCTTTACTTGAATTAGTAGGCATACAAATACGACCGTTAGTCCTAAACCAATCAGACAGGGACAGTCCTGTACCATGGGTTCCAGGGTGGTTTCTCCATTCGCGATGCCCAGGGGCCCAGGGCTGGGCCTGTTTCCGGCATATTCTTAGATCGCTACCTTGCTTCTATGCACTGTGGCTTCTGCTTTGTGGGATTGCTAATTCTCCTGTGTATTGGGGTGCCAGCAGCTCGTCGTCAATCTTGCTGAAAAGTGGCAATGCATTCTTCAGCAATGCCACACCCAGTGATCAGAAGCACATTGAGGAGCCTTTTAATGCCACACCCAGTGATCGGAAGCACATTGAGGAACCTTTTAAGGTGAAGGAGGCAGAACCTGTGAATGCGACAAAATCTTCTCCAGAGAAGGTAATGGTGCATTGGAAGATAAGAGATTCTAGTATATTCTAGTTTACCTCTGGCATGGTGGAAATGTGTTTTCCATGTCGAATCTAGTTTGATGTTGAAGCTTGTACAGCTTCGTATGTTCACCCTGTCCCGACCCATATGCTGCTAAACCAATTTATCCATGCATACAAATCAGAAAACACAGTTTTTTTTATAGTGCAGAGGGGTCAATTTAGGGAACATGGTCTGAATATTGATATTCTGAGCATCTAGTTTATTGTAACACGACTGCTATATTTCAGAGGCATGAGAATAAAGATATATACTTTTCATGGAATGCTTTTTTACATGTGATAGTTATCTTATATGTTAATCAATTAATTTGCAATGATGGAAGGAATTATTGCTTTTATAGCTAACAAATGTATGGGATTTTCAGCTCAAGATATGCTTGCTGTCATTCTTTTCTTAATTTTTTGAATTCATGTTTATGAAAATTACTGAGCTGCTTCTGACATCTATCTTGATATAGCTACTGGTTCTAGGAGGAAGTGGTTTTGTTGGATCGCATGTTTGCAAAGAGGCTTTGGACAAAGGATTAGTTGTCTCTAGTCTTAATAGGTAACTCCGTCAGCTAATTTATTCTCTTATTTTCGTACTTTACTATCGGTTCGGATTTTCTATTCTATTAAGACTTGCTAGATTTGTTTATATGATGCTAAAACTATTGTAGAATAGGCTAAAAACATTGAAATGACAATAAATTTCTACTTAACTAGGGTGTCAACTAATTCATCACATAGCTTTGTTCAGATATACATGGAAAACTATAACGGACTCTGATCCTCAAATAATTTGTATTCGATCAAGTTTCTATTGATTTCTTTTGGGGCCTTAGCATTAGTGATAACCTCTCATCCTTTTGTCTTTGGTTGTGCTGTTCTAGCCACCATTTACTGCTGTGAGGACTATTTGTTATGTGGATCAACCTAAAGAAACTGATGGTCCATGATCTTGTTCCCACTTTCTTGTTCAAACAGCAAAATTAGGAGCAAACGGCTTCAGATTATTAGTATGAACAGCAATCAGTACAAAACTAGAGTCCAGAACTAGGACAATTTGCAGACCCAGTATAGAATTGGAAAGCAGAATCAAATAACACAAACTGAGGATGGGGCAATTTAGTATGCTTCGAGAATTTTTGTTAGTCCAAATTAAAGAATGTAGTTTCTGTTCCTGAATACATAGACATTTCAAACGAAAAGTTCCAATTTTCTACCCTGAACAATTCACTCTGTTTGACCCCCTATGCAAAACGTTGACTTGATTTACTGCCCCAAATTATGGAATTTATCTTTTCTGTTTCTCCCTGTTCAAGTTATACTTGGTTTCAAATTTTGTGAGATAATACAGGACATCACTGTTCTAGAAACTTTGATAACTTTTATGGTTATTTTCATTGATTATCTCAAAGGTTAATGTGAAAAGATCTGAATTGTTTTTGTAACATAGTGTGCAATGCCAACTGTTACCCCACAAAAATTGAATCCAAGAAACCAACACACTTGTATGAGGACTTGAGCAGAGTTAAAAAATCAAATTTCTTCTGGGGATGATTTTATCCAGTTTGAAAAGTTTGGGGGAGTAAATCGAATCAGCGTTTTATACGATGGGTTAAACGAATAGTTAATAGTACTAAAATGAACCTTTTTGTACTTAAAATTCACTTTCTCCTTTTTATGCATTCTGTGTTTCTTATTCTTACCAATGTTATTCTTTTGTCATTAGATCTGGAAAGCCATCCTTAAATGAACCTTGGGCTGACAAAGTTATATGGAACCAAGGTTGCTTGCTACTGAGGTTAACTTTGTTCTGTCAATGGTAATGTAGTTAATATCTACCTTCTATTGGACAGGCAACCTCCTTGAACCGGCTTCATTGAAGGATGCTATGGATAATGTTTCTGCAGTGGTAAACTTACCGAATCCATTTGAGCTAAATATGTTTCTGTACTTAGTGTTTGACACATTTCTTTTATTATAGTTTGATTTCGTTTTTGTTTGAGTATCAGTAATGTTATACAGAGTAGTTTATGGTGTGGTGATGTAATACCAAAATACCAAGAGTTTTCCACTCCGAATGCAAGGTAAGCTGAAAGATTTTTTTTTGAAGTAAAGATGACAGGGGCCCAGGGAGTTCACCGTTTACGTAGTGCAGGCCTTGTGCGCCTGTGGTAGACGATCCCATGAGGAAAATGGCTTGCCTCTATCTCGGGTCGATGTGCATCGCTGCACACCCTTAGCATTGTCTTCAACCAGCACGGCTGATGTGGCCCTCGTGGTTGCAGCTGCAGTCATGGTAGCCAAGCCAAGTGGTGAGGCCACTGAGTGTGAAGTGGTGAGTGGGAAGCAAGGGAAGCAGTAAAAGTGGATATGAGGCAACACTGCTTGTAGTGTTGGAGGTTGGGGAAGCAGTAAAAGTGGATATGAGGTAACACTGCTCGTAGCGTTGGAGGTTGGGGAAGCAAGGAATTTGATCTGGACCCTTTTACTTGTACCAGAACCGGCGTGGGATGCGGCAGTAGGAGCGGGAAACGACAAGCCAACAGACATCGAGGATGGTCCCATGATGATGGATTTGAGGCGCAACCTCAATGTCGAGCAGTGTGGAAGTTGTGGGCCACCGCCGCACGGAAATAGGATCTGGGAGCATGACATAACACGTTTTGGGGCTAGGGAGGGTGGAGATTGTAGATTGGTGGGGGCCTTAGGTGCTGGGGCATGAATTCGTCGGGTTGCTGGAGGATGGTGGTATTGTGGCCACCGGCGCGGACGGGGTGGGGATGCTTTGTCGCACTCGGTCACCCATTGGTCCCCCTCACTACTGCTGAAAGATTTTGTCCTATGTTATGTTATGTTCGTAAACTTTGCCTGTTCAACACCATATATCTATCTATACCTAATATTAAAGGGCCAAAATTTCTGCCACTATTTGTCCAGCCCAATGTTATGTAGTTTTGATTAGAAATGGAACTTATTCTTATTAGAACCTAGATCAACTGACAGTCTAATTAATCAAGCTGTATACTGAAATCTTGACCAGTTTGTTATCCAATATATATCTATACCTTTATCCATATTTATACTCTACACCTATTTACCTAATATTAAAGAGTGAAGGGATTATTCCAACCGTCTTTTTTTTTTACTTCCCAGAATACCCTCGCACTTCTCTCTGCCCCGTCCGTGATTTGGACTCACGACCCAACACCTGTCCAACAACGGTACGGAATCTCCCTGTCCCGCATGTGATCGGTACTCACGGTCCATGTTCACACGAGTTAGAATAACGCGCATCAAATGACGGTACAAAGTCTAACTCTAAGACACATCAGGCAATGGTTGGAATCGGACTCCAATATGTATTGGAATAGATGACGAGACTGTTGAACAAATCTCTTAAGTTGCTATTTGTCCAGGCGATCACGCCACAAGCTATCTGTTCCATTGCAACACATGGGCACAATTACTAGTGACCATAATTTGATCTTCCAAATTTCTTGTGATTTCAAATGGGGTTCATTTTTTTACTAACAATTGCTACATGTTTTTGTGACACATGCCGCAATCTAGCGAAGTAAATGTCTGTCCAGCGGATATCCATCGATGGGCAAGGATGTTTTTGGTCAAAGGACAATCTAGCCACAACATGAATGCCATGACGTCTTTTATTATCAATTAGACAACTTCTTAGTAATACACTCGTGAAGGAATAATACCTGGCCATGACGGTTTTACAGGTTGTTTCTATCAAATGTGTTGGTCTCTTATAAAAAAAGACATCATGGCTGCAGTCTCTGCAGCTTGGGGTAGACGCTTCAGGAACTTTGAGCCTTTATCACCCTCCTGCCTAAAAGAGATGAAGCGCTCCATGTCAAGGACTTCGGACCGATAAGTTTGGTGCATAGCTTCGCCAAACTTGCAACAAAAATTTTCGCTACTAGATTGGCAGGTCAGCTTCATGGGTTAGTCTCACACAATCAAAGTGCTTTCATCAAAGAAAGGTTCATACAAGACAATTTTATGCTGGTACAGCAGACTGAAAGATGTTTACAACGACAAGGACAGTCCTGTTTACTGCTCAAGCTAGATATATCAAAAGCTTTTGATCTGGTTTCCTGTAGTTTTCTATTGAAAATGCTGCAAAAACTGGGTTTTGGACCTCTTCTGGCATGACATTCTTAGTGATCTCCTTGCTTCCTCTTCTTCGCATGTCCTCCTCAATGGTGTTCCTGGTGCAACCATCTTTAATCAGAGAGGGCTGCAACAGAGTGATCCGTTATCACCGATGCTCTTTATCTTATTGATGGACGTGCTGAGCCACATGATTTCTAATGCCGGAGAGAACGGCTTGCTGCAGCCCCCTATGTTCCAGAGCACTGCAGCACCGAATCTCCATTTATGCGGATGATGTTGCTCTTTTCCTCCGGCCGCTTGCGAGTGATATTGACCTTTCTCTTGACGTCCTCAATTTATTTGGCGAAGCTTCTGGTCTGAAAACAAATGTGCAAAAAAGTAACGTGTTCCCTGTTCAAGGCTCAGAGAATGACATGACATTTGTTCAGGATCATTTGCCTTGCGAGCTCTTGAACTTTCCTTGTCAATACCTCAGATTCCTGCTTTCTTTGAGGAAATTGACAAAGGCACAGCTGCAGCCCATTAATTAAAGAAGGGCGGCATATACTGGTGCAGCATGTTCTTACATCCATGGTGGTCTATATTGCTATGGCCATTGATATTCCTCCCTTGGCCATCAAGGCTATTGACAGATTAAGAAGAGGTTTTTTGTGGAGAGGAAGGAAAGAGGCCTAGGGGGGCCACTGTCTAGTGGCCTGGACCAAAGTGTGCCTCCCTATAGAGCTTGGTGGTCTTGGAATTTCTAATCTCCAAAACCTTGCTGGTCTCTTCGGTTCCGATGGCTGGGGTTGAAGAAAACAGATTCTACTCGTCCTTGGACAAATTTTCATGTGCCGGTCCATTAGTGTGTCCAAGCATTCTTCTCTACTGTGGTCTCAGAAATTGGTAATGGTGCTGCAACTTTGTTTTAACTGACAGGTGGATTTATGGCCAGGGCATAGCTGATCTCGCTCTTCAAGTTTTGGCATCAGTTCCCAAAAGGAAAAGGAACGAGAGAACAGATCTGGAAGCTTTAACTGACCTTACCTGGGTTAGGGATATTCAGGGCGCCTTATCTGCTGATTTTTTTTCAGAGTATTTCGCCCTGTGGGATCACATCTCAGAAGTGGTACTACAACCAGAGGTGGAAGACACGTTTGGAGGTTCTCTGGTGATGGGCATTACTCAGCAAAATCCGCCTATGAAAGCCTGTTTCTTGGTATGGTACTTCTCAGTCCTTTTGAGAGGATTTGAAAACTTCGCCCCTGGGAAATGCCGTTTTTTCATGTGGCTAGTGGTCCATGAAAGGTGCTGGATGGCTGACCGGTTGACGCGGAGAGGGCTTCCTCACCCTTCCTGTTGCCCCCTTTGTGACCAAGAGGAGAATAGTAACCACTTGCTATTGACATGCGTATTTGCACGAGAATTTTGGTTTTTCCTTCTATGTTGAGTCGGCTTACATAGTCTCACTCCCCTATCTGATGAGATCTCCTTTTATGATTGGTGGGACAGAAGCTCAAGGAGGGTGCCTGATCACTTAAGAAAGGGTCTCAATTCCATCATTATCTTAGGGGCCTGGACATTGTGGAATCTTTGTAATCACTGATTGTTGAATGTCCTAAACTAGCGAGACCATTTTTGCTTGCTAGTGAGGTGCTTCATTTTTGGGCTTTTGCTAGGGCAAGAGGTATCAATCACCTCCTTGCCTAGAGGCTGTTTGTGAATTGATTGTGGTAGTGGTCGTCTCCATCTTTGGTTAAAGGCACGACTGTTTGTTTAGGATGGTAGTGGGTTGTGTTATGCGTGCGTAAGGTTTCTTGTATGGGTTCTTACCCCTTTTTCTTCTTAATATAATGATACGCAGCTCTCGTGCGTGTTTGAGATTTTTTTTTTGTCTTGCTGCACCGTCTACCATTACTAGGCATAACGGAAAATCCTAGGTTCATTGGAACTCGAATAAGGATGAAGCCATAGTTGCTTGTTAGGATATAAGAGATTTGGTTTGTTGCAGTAGCCCATCTCATTATAAGGAGCAGCAGCTGAGGCAATCAGGAGGCCCCTCTCCCTCTCTCTCCCTCCCTCCCTCCCTCCCTCTCTCAGTTGTTCCTCCGCCATCATGAACCACCAACACCCCAGCCCATAACATAAGGATCTTGGCTAAAATTATCTCATGTGCAAAGTTCCTAAACATGAATTAGTGTTTGTTTTATTTATACCAACTACTTCGAGTAGATGTTTCATAGCTAACATCTTATTTGTAACAATTGCTTTGAGTACATGTTTCATAGCTATATCCTATATCAACTTATTCGGGCCATGCACAAGTTTAATGTCAAGCTTTGTGTCTGTCCCCAACTCCCTATGTCCCAAACTCTAAGGACTTATTGTAGAGGTAATTAGGGAACACCTCACACCCAATTAGGGGGGTGACTTTCATATATATAGTCAAGTACAACTTGGAGTACAAGTAACATGGTATATGTCAAGGGCCTGGGCGCCTAGGGTTGGAGGCCCTTGGCTTCTCAGCTGGTAGCTTGAACCGGGTAATGGAGGTGCCAGGGTTTTTGCTTGGCTACCACAACAGGGGTGAGATTAAGAATAGAGAGAGAGAGAGAGAGATTAGGAGATAACTTCTTTCTTGATTCCTTCCTTCAACGGGTATAGGATACATATAGGAGCTCTGCTCCATTGCTACTTGTGCCAGCCATTAACTACTAGCTGGCTAATTAATTCCTTACTCTTTACTACTACTTAATTGTCTTAGAAACTGCAGCCCTTCCAGCCGCCTAAACCTCCTAGGGTTCTGCCAGGCCATGCGCCCCCTTGGGGACTGCCCCGGCTGTACCTCGTGTCCGAGGCCGGCGGCTGTACTGTTGGCCCCACATGACATCTCTCCCCCCTCGACGAGCAGCTCGTCCTCGAGCTGGAAGTTGGGGTAACGCTCGGTGAAGCTGTCGATGTCCTCCCAGGTGACGGAGGCTGAGGGCTCGCCTTGCCAATGTATCAGCACTTGGCGGACGCCGCGGGCCAGCCTGGTGCGGGAGGCGTGGTCTGGCACCGGCTGTGTGGCGCCATGATGCATAGGAGGCAGAGCCGGGGGAATGGCCGGTGGAGTACCCACGAACTTCTTCAGGAGCCCGACGTGAGACATCGTGCAACCGGGCGCGGGGAGGGAGCTCGAGGCGGTAGGCGACGTTGTTGATGATGGCAGAGATGCGGTACGACCCATAGTACCGGGGTCGCAGCTTCCCTTTGGTGACGCCGTGGAGGGAGGCCGGGGCGCGATGGCGAAGACGAAGCCAGACCCAATCACCCACGCTGTACTGGACGTCGCGGTGATGCTTGTCGTAGAACCGCTTGTAGATTGCCTGAGCTTGCTCCAGTCGTGCCCGGGCATCAGCAAGCATTTCATCGCGTTCAGCCATGGTCTTGGCCACCGCAGCCACCCTGGTTTCACCAGGCTCATAGGATCGGATGGAGGGTGGCTCACGGCCGTAGACGAGCTGGAATGGCGTGGTTTTGAGCGCGGACTGAAAAGCGGTGTTGTAGATATACTCCGCCCATGGCAACCAGCGCAGCCACTGACGGGGACGATCACCAGTCAGGCAG